CCTGGCTGAGGCCTCTGGGTGGTGGCGACCGCGGCTCCGCCCCGGGCTCCCGCCGCCTGAAAATTTATTCGAGCCCCATCTGCTCCAGGAGCCGTGCGGGTGGGGAAAGGAGCGGAGGTCGGTCCTGCTGGCTTGCGGGTGGGAGGCGCATACTTTAGGAAAATCGGCTCGAGCTGTTACCCTGAAGGAGCTGCAGTGGAGGAGGCGGAGAGAAGGCCGCACCCTTCGAGGCTGGGGGAGGGGAGTGCCGCAATACCTTTATGGGAGTTCTCTGTTGTCTCCTGTTTAAGGACCGCCCTGGGCCTAGAAGAATCCCTCCCTCCCCGGCGATCTCGTCATCGCCTCCATGTCGAGTCGCTCCTTCTAGATTATGGGCAAGATTCTTTTGCCCAGGCTTAACCTGGTGCCTGGGTGTTGTCCCGAAGGGGTTTGAGCAGGTGTAAGATTTTGAGGGTGAGCCCAATTTCTGTCTTCCCAAAGACTCGAGTTAGTGTAACAGTAATGGTAGGAGTGGAGGAGGGAAATGGAGTCCAGGCATTCACCTGGGACTGATTTTACAGCAAGACTGCGTGTTACTACTACTTAAAATCCTTCTAGCTTTTTCCTGGGGATAAAGTGAGAGACTAAATGCAGACTGAGTTTTATGCTCACCTCATTTAAGACCCTTACTAACCCCCCAAAGTATAGCACCCGTGGTTAAGTCTTAATCTTAAAATTTTAGGCTCCTTTCCTTGCATCCCCGGGATCAGGCACCTTACCAACTCTCACTCTTTCTTTGAGCCCACTTTCTGTTTGTTTTACTTGCTCATCCAGTCTGCAGACAAGCCATTGGCTTTCTCCTCTCCTGTTTTTGGTAGCCTGGTGAGTCATGAAACCAGCCAGATTGGTTCCACCACCAATTAAGGCCACCCAACCTGAACAGAGGCCTTACTCTTACCCAGTATTGTCTTTTCCTCTGCTGGGATTCTACCCCTGACCCTCTTCACAGTACAGGTGATCTTGACTACTGCTTTACAGAGAATTGGACATGAGGTTCAGCAACATCTCCCTTTTACCTCCTTTGAATAACCTCTCAGTCCATCCCATGATTTCTGTTCTCATCAGTTATTAACTGAGTTCAGTTGCCATAATGCTAATAGCCTTCAAACCAGTGTCTCTGCCTTCTGTTTCCTCTTTTGAGCCATCTTACATGTTGCCAGGACAATTGTTCTAACATACAGCTAGAGCATGCAGATGACTGATTTAACTCTTTCACTGTCTCCTAACTACTTACATGATGAATTCTATCATCACTAATGTGATAAACAAGGTCCCTCAATGGGCTAACCTCATCTGTTCTTAACAGCTTTTTCATTTGCTGCAATTTTTCACATATACACACCAACACTACCTCTGCTCAACTCACGCTGAATTTGTTTACTGTTTACCCAAGTCACAGTTACATAGTCATACCATTTTGTAGGGTCCTTCCTGCTGGAATGCTACCCTTGATACTCTTTACCCTTCAAGACTTAAAACTCAAATATCATCTCTCCTACGATCTTGCCGTCTGTGATCTGTTCTAATAGCTAGACTCCCCTAAAAAGTTAGCGATGCTTTCTCCTGATCCCATAACAAGCATGTTGAATCATAGCACTTCTCAGGTTGTTGTCATTGCTTGTTTAAATTCTCTTAAACTACTCTGAGCAGTCTCTTGTTGAGTCTTGTACCACTAAGCTCCTAGTATATTCCTTCATATGTAGCCAATCCTAAATAAAGTGGAGTGACATGTAGATGTCAGTAAAGTTTGATAGATTATCGACCCCTTAAACAGTTCTTTGTATGTTTGCTAGTGCTCTAGGTTAGCACTATCCAATAGAACCTTCTGCAATAATGGATATGTTCTTCATCTGTGCTGACCAATATGGTGACCACTAACCATATATTAATATTGAGCACTGGAAATGTGGCTAATATGACTAAGGAACTGAATTTTTAATTTTATGTAATTTAAATTGTTGCTATAGGCAGTGTAGCTATAGCCACAAACTTGTGGATTGCAGGATACTTAATATGGAAGTTGATAATTTTCTCTTCATACTGAGCAGTAAGGAAATAAAAGTTGGACCTCTCTGACTCATTTTGGACCCCCCCCCCCCC